AAAAAAAAAAAAAAAAAGCCCTTGTGTCAAAGGAGGGAACACTTACCTCCTTCCCAGGGGGACCAGAGAATCCAGGGAAGCCCTGCTGGCCTGGCTCACCCTACAGAAAAACACAAGTCTCAGGTCAGTCTGGGTGGCCCAGTCAGGCTCTTGGCCTTAGAGAACCCAATGAACCCTAAACAGACTTTGGAACCAAATGAGTTTGGGAAGGGAGAGGATGTTCTTGGTCAGGTCCTCTGGACTTCATTGATTTTCCTGTGTCTGTTTCTCCTCTGAATTTGGAGCCATGCCATCCTGTCTCCACTGAGCTGGGATGAGGGGCAGGGGGCAGAAGGCAGGAAGGAGGTGTGTCCAGGCCAAGCTGCTGAACCTGGGGTGAGGCCTGAGTCTTTACAACACACCCCTGATCCCTGCCCCCAGGCTCCCTTGCTCAGATGAAGCCATACTGCTTCCAACTTGGGGTTATCTCACCTTGTCCCCAGGGCCGCCTTTTGTCCCAGGCTGGCCTGGCACACCCTGTAGAAAGAAGTTGACATCAGTTCCTGCCCTGGCATGGGGGAATCCCATGCACCTGTGCTTTACCGCCCACCCCTCTACCCCCAAATCTAATCCAGATCCTTTTTCCCCTTGTGGGAGCTGAACAACAGAAGGCCCAGACATAGCCTCATGAACTTGATGATGCCCAGCCCCCAAACCCTAGTGGGAGAGGATGGGGGACAGAGGGGCCTGTGGTCCATGCAGAGAAGAGGAGCACGCTGTGTTCTCATAGGCACACGTGACACGTGGGTGCATACAGATACAAAGTCTGCACATGGGCACGTTAGCAGGCCCTCCAGCAGGGAGCGTGGTGGGGAGGGGGGAGGGGTTATGTGCTCCCATGGACGGGGCTCCCAAAAGGTGTGGTCCAGAGGCAGGCCTGAATGGTGAGAAGGCACAGAGAGATGGGTAAGGGCATTCTAAGCAGAGGGGTAGGCAAAGGCCTGAAGCCATGAGGGCAGAAAATCCAAGGCAGTATTGAGAAGGGAAAGCATGAAGGGCAGTGGCTACAAAGGCAGCAGTGGCAAGCTGATCGGATTGAGGTGGTCCTTGAATGCTAAGATGAGCTGTGAGGGCAAGGACTATAGCTGTCCTGTTTAGAACTGTTTCTCTGGCACTCAGTGGACCTCGAGTACTCGGTAACTATTTCTTGGCTGACTGGACGGAGTGACTTTCCTGGAGGCAGTGAGGGCCCTGGAAGGTGCTGTAGCATGGAAATGGTCAGATTCTACCTAGCCAACATGGAGGACTAGAGTGGCCAAAAGATGAGGCCTAAGCCAGGCCAGAGGCCACAGAGGTAGTGATGAGACCCTGGGTGGGGACAAGGTGTGGATTTTGATTTCATCAGCCACTCATGCCACTGTGGGGAGGTGGGCAACAGAGCGCGTGACCTCTCTGAGGAGAAGCTGCTGGCCATGGGGCAGCTCCCGTGATTCTACTGCATACTCACTGCTAGGCCCTGGTGCCCTGGGCTTCCTGGCCGCCCCGCCAGTCCTGTACTGCCCTGGGCGAGACAGAGAACCAGAGGCACAAATGAGAGCTCCATCCAGAGGGTCCATGGCTTCTACCCAGGTGCAGGCATGAAAACTATGGCCCAATGGCAGGAAGGGATGTGTCGCGGACACCCCTGAGGGTCCCTGGCCCCAACCCCACCAGCAGTCCCCATGCCTACCTTCATGCCAGGTATGCCTAGGAGCCCGTCCTTGCCGTCGACGCCCGGGGAACCCTGCTCAGGAGTAGAGTTGAGGGTAGACTTACAATGAGGAGATGCCTGGGATCAGGCCACCCACCCGTGTCCCTCTGTGACAACTGCACTGCGCAAGCAGGAAGCGGGTCTGGTGATCTTGCAGAGCCCCACCAGCCAACTGGGGGAGGGGAGTGGAAGTGGGAAGAAGACTTTGGGGGCTGGACCACCATCCTTCTCTTGTGTGGGTGGAAGGGTCCCAGAGTGCTGCAAGTTTCCCACGACCTCTCCCACCCTATTTACAGATGAAAAAACTAAGGCACAGAAAGGACATTTCCCAAGGTGACAGAGCCTCTAACAGTTCAGTCTAGAGTCCCAGCCTCCACGTCCTCTGGGGGCTTGGACAGAATTGACTGGACCCCACCCTTCGTCCCGGTGGGCCACTCACAGTTGCTCCTTTTGGGCCTGTTACTCCCTGGGGTCCTCGAACACCTTGGCTGCCCTGCAAAGTAGATAGAGATGAGGTCACCTTCAGGATGCTGAACCCCTATCTGGCTGTTCACTGAGGCAAAGAGCTGAAAACTGACCTCTGTCCCAGGGTCCCTCTGGCACGGGCTACACTGCGCAGGGGCTGGAGGAAAGGGGCCTGGGAGTGCCCTTTTGGCCCTGAACCCAGCAGGAGGGAGTAGAGGTAGGTTCCAAGCAGAAGGGGCTAGGCTGGGGGTGGTGAGAAGGGGCCAGCGCTCACTGAGGCGCCACCAAGGCCCTGAGCCCCACTGATGTAACGCAACAGCCAAATGCAATGTGTGGGTTTTGTTTGGGACTTAATTGGGACTAGAGCCCTGAAGAGACATCTTTAAGCTAACTGGGAAAAATTGAACACAGACTGGCTGTTTGATGATGTTAAAGAATAACTGATAATTTTGTTGGTGTCATCATGATATTGTGATTACATCAGAAAAAGTCCATATTTTTAAAGGTACGTACAGAAGTATTTAGGGGTAAACTGACATGATGTTAAGGATTTTCTTGAAATATCAGAGCGAAGCAATAACAAAGTGAAGGAAGGAAGGGGAAGAAGGGAAGGATGAAGTGAGCATGGCAAAATGTTAATTTAGGGGAGATGGGTTAAACGGGCGTTCATTATATCATTCTCTATTTTTGCATATGTTTTCAAGCGTGCACAATAAAAAACTAAAAATATAATAATTAGCTTTACTTTCAGCTCAGTTTTTTTCTGTAAACTCAAAACTCCTCAAAAAGAAATAAAGTCTATTAATTAAAAAAAAAAAAAGTTAAGAGAACTGGGATCTGGACCAAATCCCATTAGCCCCATGGCTGATTTGCTGGAATTTCATTGTCTGGCCCCAGTGACTGTAGGACTAGATCTCATGGCTTCTCCAAAGTCTGAATTTGATCAACAGCAGGCTGGGTTTGGAAGACTGGGGGCTGGTGGAGCTGACGAGGTTCGGCACAGACACTCCTTACACACACACACACACACACACACACACACACACACACACACACACACGGCTCAGGTGCAGGTTAGTCCTGCCCAGTACTCCCCAGGATCCCTGCTGACTGGACGACAGGAGCCTGAGGACTTACCACGTCGCCCTTCTCCCCAGCTCGGCCTGGTGGCCCCCGTGGACCTTCCTCACCCTGGCAAGAAGGACAAACAGGATTCAGGTTAAACGCCTCAGGGGGAACTGCATCCCAGCTCTTTGCAGCCCCGGGGGGGGGGGGTCCAGCATGGAGGAGGTGTGTGGGGAGGTGCCGGGAACAGACTTACTCGTGACCCCGCGGCGCCAATGGAGCCCACCATGCCTTTGTACCCACGAGGACCCTGGGGAGAGGAAGGAGGTGCAGGTCAGTTCCGGCTGGACCCCAGGATCCAGAGGGCTGTCAGGGCAGCTCTTACAGGACACCCCCAGACTCACCGTTTCTCCTTTGGGCCCCGCCATGCCCGGGTAGCCCCTGACTCCCTGAGGACCCTGTCAAGACAGAAGAATCACAGCGATGGCAACTGCAAGGCCCACTTCATGCTACCTTCTCTGATCCCCACCCCTAATCTTTACAATGGCCCTCTGAGACAAGCAGCAGAGTCCCAATCTCATAGTGGGGACACCACAGGTCAGAGACGGGAAAGCACGCGCCATGGTCACGCAAAGGGACAGTGGCAGAACCTGGGCCTCATCCAAGTCTGCTGATTGACAGCCTTGGTTCCTGTCCCCCAATTTCTGGCAGTCAGCCTCAGCTTCCTCTCCCCACCCAGAGACATGCCAGCTGGGCACAGCCATCTCTTTCACAAGTTAGAGGCGAGAGCAGGCAATTGACTCCATGAAGGTCTCCTAGAATGAGGAGAGGAGGCCCTAGGGGAAGTGTTCCTTACCGGCGGTCCAGGGATGCCTTGCTCTCCAGAAGCACCCACATCTCCTTTGGGACCCTACGGGGCATGAATGAGTGATCAGACAAGCAGGTAGGTGGAGCGTCAAGTATACAGACAACCAAAGATACCATCCCTTTCCAGTCCCATGTAACAGACAGGTGGGGAAATGGAGGCCCAGCACGGAGAAGAGACTTGCCCAGGGACACACTCCCAGCTCGAGGCTCTGTGTCCAGAGACCCACAGGGAAAGGAGAAGGAAGGAGGAAGGGGGAGGCACAGGTAGGGTCCTCTCCACATACCTTTGCTATGGCCCTCTGCCCTCATACGTACCGTCTGCCCCAGGCGGCCGGGATCTCCCAGAACCCCACGTTTGCCAGGATGCCCCTAAAGGAAAGGATGGAGCTCAGTGTGAGTTCCCCTCCCGAACGCCTGTTCCTCCCTCCCAAGACTTGGGCCAGGAGCTGGCTCACCTTTACTCCCTGCAGTCCCTGGGGGCCTTTCACGCCTGCTGGACAGTTAGTTGGGCACTGGAAAGAAAATTCCACAGGGCTCCATGGTCACGGACCTGCCTCAGGCCAGCTGGGCAGTGCTTCCCATCTTACCAACTACCAAACCCTCCTCCCACCCCACCTGTCTGAGCCACTCTGTGCAGCCTCTCCCCATCTCCCACTGACCCTGTCTCCCCTTGACCCACCCTATCTCCACCACTGCCCCTCTCCAGCTGTGCCCCCTCTCTCATCCCTTGCGCCCCCCGCCTCGTTCCTCCATTAGTCCCACCCCAGGACCACCTCTCACCAGGAAATCCGCACTGCCTTCCAGGCCCTGGATGGTTCCGGGGCGGCCCTAAGAGGAGATGTGTGGAGATGGAGCCTGACCCGAACCTTCTCCGCCCCAGGCTTTCGCCAAGGACCCTTCTCCCTTCTCAGCTGCACATTGCCATGTGGGAGGTCTGAGGGCACCTACCGGTTTCCCAGGGGGGCCTGGGGGCCCTGATGGTCCCTCTGGTCCTGGATCCCCCTGGAAGCAAGAGAGGCCCAAATCATGCACCTGCCCAGCCTTCTTTCCAGGTCACCTCCTGAGGTCTGGGCTCTCAGAGAGATCAAAGCCTGATTGACAAAGGATGGCTCCAGCCCTTGGCCTCCCTGAAAGACCTACTGCAGGATGGGCTCAGCACGTGGGGTTTCTGCCCCAGCCCTGGAGGAGCTCCCTGACAGCCAGAAGCAGGCCCAGGAACTCCTGGCTAGACACCTAGCCTGCCAGCTAGGAGGCAGAGGACAAGAGGCAAAGTGAGCAGAGGGGTGTCTGGGGCTCACCTTGGCGCCTGTGATTCCAATTTCACCAGGGAGCCCAACTGGTCCAGGTGGTCCCTAAGAGCAGAGATGTCACTGGCCAGGATGCCTTGGAGGGTTAGCCCTTCCCCACTTCTACTTAGCAACCAACCCCAGAGGTCTGACAGATTAGAGCTTTAAGGACAAGAGAATCCCAGAGCCAGTGGATAGGGCCAGAGATTTCTGGCAATTCTGCCCATTTCTGACACCATCAGAGCACGCTGGCCCCTCCCCATGATGGCCAGTCCCCTAGAAGCCCTTTTGTGTTCTCCTTCCCTAGGAGTCTTAGGGACCCTGCCGACCCTTAAGGACTTACAGGAGGTCCAGCGAAGCCAGGACCCTGAAACAGAAGGAAAGGGGATTGAGTTCATGGCTCTTTCTTCAAGTCCTCCCTACCCACAAAGGGTCGTCGAAGCCTTTGCAGGTTATACTCACCGGCAGGCCAGGGGGACCTGGGAGCCCGGGCTGGCCCTGCAAGAGCAAGGGGAGAAGCTCAGAGGCTGTGGTCTCCTGGGTCCCTGCTCTTCTCTACTGCAGCCGCTCCCAAGCTCTGGCTCTAAATTGCCCATGCTAAGTCCCCAGCAGACCACTTACCTTGACTCCGGGGGTCCCAATAGGGCCAGGCTCCCCCTTGGCTCCAGTAAGACCCTGGGGGAAGAAAGAAGGTAGATCAGTGAGAGGCAAAACTGCTCCCTGATCCATCAGGCAAGGCAGATTTGGAGGTCTCTCCTGAGTGGGCCCAGACTGCTTTCACCCCACTCTTTGAAGGTCTAGGATCCTCAACACCTCACTTTCCCTTCTGCCCAGTTCCCACGGCAACTACAGGAGGCAGACAGACAAAAAAAGGATTATCTTCTTTTGAAAGATGAGAAACCAAGTCTCAAAGATTTGTCAGCCCCGGCCTCATGCCTACCAGTTTAGGAGTCTAGAAGACCTAGATACCTAGATACAAGTCTGGAATGGTTTTTATTTGATGCCTGCCCTTGGCAGCTTTTTCTGAGCCTTTGTCCTCTCATCTGCAAAATGGGTTAATAATCATGCTTACCTCTCTGGTTGGATATGAGAACTGATGTGGAAGGCAATGTGCTTTGTAATCTTTGCAGGGTGTGGACAAGTTGGAGGGACCCTGGTGCCTTGGCACAGCTCTGGTGGGTACCTCTTGAGCCAAAAGGGCAAAGGCAACTCCTGGGGGCCTCTTCCTCCTCCCATCCTTCAGTGACTGACCCAAGTGCATCCCCCAACCAGATGGCTGTCCAATGGCCCTGGCTGTGTACAGGAGCCTGTGACCTTGGGGCCCCTGGGAACTCTGTGGTATTAGCTAAATAATGTTCCTTTCCTGAGTTTCACCTGGGGCTGCGAGGGGGTGGGGTGGGGAAGGGAAGAGGGGAGGAGAGGATGGGGCGCACAAGGACAGCTCCTCCTAGAGTATTCAGTCTGATACTTGGAGGCCAGAAATGTGAGATAAATCCTGGCTGCTGCAGACAAACAGAAGCACTCTGTGGTTCCCATTTGCTCATGACACCATGCTCCTAGGGCACGTGTGGGGTTCCAGTGAGATTACAAGTCACATGAAGAGGAAGGGGGCTCAGCTATAGAGTTTCCATCCTGCTGCCCCTCTCTGAGCAGAATATGAGGGAAGATGCCAGAACCAGGCTACTCACATCAATCCCGGGCTTCCCGTTCGGCCCATCAGGCCCCGCTTTACCAGGCTCTCCCTTAGGTCCCTTGGAAACAAAGGTGGGGCCAATATTAGCCAGAGGGCAAGAACTGGAAAGATCAAAGGTCAAAGAGGAAAAAGCACTTACCGGAGGGCCAGGTTTCCCAGGGGGGCCCTTGTCGCCCTGCAAGATACAAGTTGGTGAGAGCAAGCCCTGGCTCATGCTACCCCAAATGGGCCCATGCAGGCCCTGGGTGAACAGTCCCACATGCCTGTCTCTTCACTATCGTCTCTTCTGTCCTGGATCCCCTGAGCCTTGCACTTTTTAGGAAAATAGCTCTGTTTCCCTCAAAAAAAAAATGTCATAGGTTAATTGAAATCAACCCCAGCCAGGCCGGAGAGGGTGATATCAACATGTAGGTGGGTTTTAGGCATGCCAGTGCTGGTAAGGTACCAGTTATGAGACTTGCAAACGGGGTTGCGGGCTCCAAGTTACCCCCGCGAGCTGGTGCCTGTTGGATTTGGGCAAGTGTGGGAAGAAAGTTTCAGAAAAACATGAAGGGGAGGTGAGTGACATCGGCAGCGGCCGTCGTCTGGAGTGAGGTCAGGAAAACAAGAGACTGGGGCAGAGGCAAGGACCAAGAAGCCCTATGAAGGAGGCAGATTCAAACTCCCCAACGCAGGAAGGACCTCCTTTCCCTTGTGACAAAGGACCCTTGGTAGAGGACAGGAAGGGTCTGGAGTCAGATCCAGCCCCAGAGAGGCCTCTAGGCATTTCAGAGCCTGCTGCATCCAGGGACCTGGCTGGGATCCAGCGTCCTGTGTTTGGGGGGTGGGGGCACCGGGCTGAATAGAAGTCTGTCCAGATGGGTAAACATGGAGCTGACCTCCTGGGGGAGCCTCCTGAATGAGATATTTAACCCTCACGCTAGGGAGAGCAGGGAACAAGCCCAGATGGTTCTAAATCAGGGAGAAATGCAAAGGGAAGAGACAAGAGTCTGGCCCCAACTAACTACTCAGTGGTCTGGCCAAGGCTCCCAAGTTACCCTGAAAGAGCATCCAGACGTGCCAGAGGGCAGGGCGAGGGGTTAAGGCGTCTCCCACTCCACAAAAAGGGGAGAGGAGGAGAGAGGGATAAGGAATCGCTGTGATCTGCGGTGGGCAGGCAGCACAGCAGCTCCTTGTCGGTGGGCAGCTATAACCGGCTCTGCATCTCCCTACTGGTTTGAGGTTTTTGCAGAACAAACGGGCTCCTTGTGGTGCGGGCCAGCGCCGCCTACTGGCAACAGGGGGCACTGCATCTCCAGACACCACCTCCACCACCCGTCCCCCGGCTCACAAAGTTCGCCTTTGTCCGCAGTATCCCTCCCCCTCCCGTCCCAGGTTAGAGACTCACGTCGATGCCGTCGGATCCAGGCACTCCCGGCGGCCCTGGGGGCCCCGGGGGACCCCGCTCTCCTGGCGGACCTCTCTGAAAACACACACAGGGGTGCAGCCTTCAGACAGTGTATGGAGAGGAGCGTCCCAGGAGTTCACCTCTTCCAGGAAAGACAGCGCCCTCAGGGAGCAGCAAACTCCCGTTTATTGAGAACATACGGTGTACCGGATACTGTGTGCCATTACGTATAGTATCTTAGTGAATGCTCAGAATTGTGAGGAGGATGCTATTTTGAGCCCCCGTTTGCAGCTGAAACAGGCTCAGAAAGATTAAGAATGATCACAGAGAATAAGTGGTGGAGCCAGGATTCCGTCCTGGTTCTGCCCAATTCCTTCCCCTGTACCACGCTGCCCTTGTGCTGTCGTGGTGCGGAATAGACCGGGATCCTGATGGCTCAAATAAGTCACAGATGGTACAATGAAGGGAAGGGTTACTCGTATTGTTTTTAGATGAACAACAGGCACGGATGGTGAGTAGGCACTCCCTCCCCTCCCCCTGGTGTGGGTAAAACCCGAAAGGAAGGTGGGGGGTGGGGAGGGGAAGCCTGTTCTCTCCTCCCACTCAGAGCACCCCTCTCCTTAGCGTGGCCCTCTTATGGGGGTCAGCTCCGACCCAGACAAGGGTTCCGCGTGCCAAGTGCCCGGGACCCTCCCTAGGCTGGAGACCCCGCAGAGAGCTGCAAACCGCACAGGGCATTGGACTGCACTCTGGCCCTGCCCCACTGCGCCCACGTCCCGTTAGATCCCCGGCCCCCAGGCGGCCTTCGGAAGTGACACGCGCGAGCCCCACGGAGAAGCGGTGGCCGGGGGAGAGAGGCGTCTGGCTGGAGCTGGCGCCCCCTGGGAAGCAGAGGGGGCGAAGGCTCCCGAGCCGGGTGAATGGGCACCATTGTCTCCGCCGCCACCTGGGCTCGTCCGGCTGCCAGGAACTAGCGCCAGCTCCTGTCCCACGATGCTGTCCCTGGCAGGGCCCAGCATCTCGGGACAGGGTCCCTCTAACTCCCCGGCTCATCAACCTCCTTTCACCGTGCCGGAATGCGCCCCGAAAGTGCACCTACCTAGGTGACTTGCGCCTTGGGTTCAGGAGTGTCAGTAGAGGGTGGAGGACAGGCAGAGCCCTCACCAGACTCCTGGGTCCTGGACCCCAGACCCCACACCCCGCACCCGGACCTCGGCTCCGGAGTGGCAGCGGGACTTACGATCTGCGCTAGGGCGAGCCCGAGCACCTGGAGGAGGATGAGGAGGCTGCGGGGGGCGGCCACGGCAGTCATGGTGGCGGCAGGTTGGAGAAGGACGGGGGCCCGGGTCCACGCACGCACAGACGGCAGAGGCTCCCCACTTGGCGCTGGCTGCTCTCGGACGCAGAGGGCCCGGCCCCCTGAATATGCGGCGGGGCGGGGCTGGGGGCCCGCGGGGTCTGTCACCTGAGAGGATTGGGGAGGGAGGTAGTGTCCTCAGCCCAGCTCCGCCCCGCTCCGTCCAGCTGCCAGCGCCCACCCTCTGTCGGACTTCCCCGAGGCCCCAGCCCTGAAATCCGAGGAGCGGCCGCAGCGCAGGACGGAGACTATGGTCCAGTTTCTGTGTGAGGTCCACTTCCAGCCTGACCTCCAGGGCCTAGCACCTTCCCCCTGACACGCAGCCTGCGCTCCACCGCTTGCCCTCCGTCCTCCCACTTCTGCCTGAGAGTCTGGGTCAGTCCTCTCGCCAGACCAAGCTGGCCTCAGATTCTGCAGACTTTTCAGCAAGCTCTGCCCACCTCCACCCACCTCTTTTCTCTCTACACACAAACAGGCCTCTTCCATATTAAAACATACCCAAGCCCTTCCTGGATCAGCCATCCTGCGAATACCCCCACCTGCCTCCTCCCTCTTGTTCATTGCTAATTCCGTAGCAGAGTTGTTTGCACCCACCTCCAAACTTCCTCTCCTTCTCACCTCCCTACTTCTACCCCAGCTAGGAGATAAATCGGTCTCCCGAAGGTCACCAGTGAGGTCTAACCCTTCTCCCATCGTCAGGACAGGCTGTTGGCACCCCGGCCTGCCCTTGGCCATTTTGTTCTTGAAGCCAGCCCTGTCAGGCTTCCACCATCTAAATCCTTCTATTGCCTTTTCTTCTCTGCACCTCACTCAAGCACTGGAGTCTCTAGGATTGGGCTTTCTCACTCTCTCTGGGTGATCTCCTCTATGGAAACAACCACCACCTTATATATCAGAGTTTCCAAACCCCACCTGTCCAGCATAGCTTCTCTCCTGAGTCCCTTCCCTTCCCTTTCAATCACCTAAACAATATCAATAAAGTGCTTAGAAATCTGACTCTGTCACTAACTTTAAGTATAACCACAGGAACCTAAAACGATGTGGTCTCAGTTTCCTCACCTGTAAAAGGGGATAATAAGAGTATCTTACAGAGTTTGTGTGAAGATTGAATGAGATAATGCATGCACAGTGTTTAACCTAGTACTAGCACATAGTAGGTGCTTGATACATTTTAGCTTTCATTATGATTTATTCAGGATCCTCAGTTTACCAGAACTGCACCCGATGTGGGGAAGACAACCTCAAGCAGATCAGTCAAAATAGTCAAGGAGATTACCCTCTGAAATCTAGACAAGTCCAACTCCATTGGACATTTTGGCAAAGGGCCCTGGGCTTTGAAGGGTGTTCCTGGAGCTGAGTTTGGGACAATGGGCTTGAGAGAATTGCCTTACAGAGTCAGGAAGAATTTGGCGTTCGTAGGAACTAAGATGAGGGGAGGAGTTGGTGAGAAATGGATGATGGACATTGCCTGGGGTGGGTGGGGTCATATGTGCAAAGGACTTCTAAGAAATGGGATGTCCAAGGTTATTGGCTTTGTGTTGTTCATTTCTTCTTGTCTTTGTGGGCTAAACACGCAAAGGCCTCATGTGAGTAAGTTTTCTTTTTTTGTGGAAATTATGAAAAAAGGATGAGCTTCACATGAACAGCAAACATTTATACAGGAGGTGCCCCCCAAAATGTGTACACATTTATTTTCTTAATTGGGGAACAGTGTGTTTCTCCAGGACCCATCAGCTCCAAGTCAAGTAGTTGTTTCAATCTAGTTGTGGAGGGCGCACCTCAGTGGCCCATGTGGAGATCGAACCGGCAACCTTGGTGTTATGAGCACTGCGCTCTAACCAACTGAGCCAGCTGGCTGCCCCTAGTTTTTTTTTTTTTGTAAACTGCCAAAATGTTTTCCAGAATGCATGTACTATTTTATATTCCCACCAATAATGTATAAAAGATCCAGTTTCTTTACATGCTTGCCAGCATTTGGGGTTGTCATTATTTTTATTTTAGCTGTTTTGTTATTTTAGATATGTAGTAATATCTCATCATGATTTTCTTCTTTTTTTATGGCTAAATAATTTATGCTTGTTTTTGGTCACTTTCCTGTGCCTTAATTCAGTTTGTTTGTTTTTTTGTAAAATATTCTGACAATTTACTCTGTCATTACTACAATTGAAATTCAGCCCAAGTTAAGAATTTAACAACTACTTAGGGAACACCTGCTTTGTATTAGGTATGTATAACTTTGAATAACATAGAAGCAGTTCTTGCCTTCACAGAGCTCACACTTGGGTGTGGGCTTTCAGATAAGAAAGAAGTATGCTGAGGGCTGTATTAGGGGTAACTTGGGGGACTACAGGGATCTAGGGTATATTGATATCAAATCTCTAATAAGCATTTTGCTAGGGATCCTATTTGCAGCCAGCCCTTGTCCGGAGATCCTTAGTGCAAGTTAAAAACTCCTTGAGCTTCTTTCATTTCTCTCTCCCGCCCTCATTTCCTTCCTTCCTTTTTTCCTCCTTCCCTTCCTCCTTCCCGTCCTTCTTTCTAAAACATTTACTGAGCATTTTCTCTATATCCAGGCATTGTTCTGTATACTCTAGGGCAGGGGTGTCAAACTCAATTAAAACACGGGCCATTTGGTGCAACAGGCAAGATTCACGCGGGCCACATCACATTTACAAATTTTGTTAAATTTATATTCTGAAGTGAGGATTCAGGAATATGGATAGGATAATTAAAACACTATATAATTGCTTTTATTTAAACATTTATTTGATTTAATGTATTTATAAAACTAAAATTATTCTTTTTTTACCCGAGTGCTCTTTTTAACGTTTTCACTATTGGGATCTGTTTACATTACGTGACACTGAGAGTGGCAGACATATCGCTTCCAAACGTCGCCGGAACTGAGTCAGCACATTTATACACGCTCACAGGCCCCCAAGAAAGGCACTGGGCCACGTGTATACTCGTCTTCAGTAGTTAAAGGGTTAACAAGGGAATTGTGTGTACGGTATTGCCTCGATCTCCCCTAAGCGCTATTTTCTTCATAACAATTTTTTCTATTTTCATTTTATTTCAGAACATCGCGGGACAAAAAATAACCTCAAGGGCCGCATGCGGCCCGCAGGCCGCCAGTTTGACACCCCTGCTCTAGAGGGTGTGCTTATCCTTAGTTGGTCCTTAAAGACTTCACCTCCAAACAGTCCTTCCATATTCTACAAGCTGGATTAACCCAGAGAACATGACTGAAATTCATTAAAAATTTTTTCATTCCACTAATATTTCCTGAGGATCTACTGCTATGTGTCAGGCATGTGGTGTGAGGAAATAATTAAATGACAATCATAAAAAGTGTAGCTAAGAACCACCATTTATTAATAATAACATTTATCATTTATACTATTATAATTATTATATATTTATAACAATACTTATTGAGTATTTGCAGTATGACAGATATTGAAGTAGTGTGTTATGTACATTTTGTCATGAAGTCCTCACAACCACTCAATGAGGTAGCTCCTGTGGTTATCTCCACTTTATATGCAAGAAGACTGAGGCCTAGAGGAATGAAATACTTCTCCTGGGGAAATTCAGCTGTACTCCCACTGTTTCTGGCTCAAGGTAGGTAGGTACCTGTGAATTTCCTCCCTTTTCCACTAAGACCACAGCATAAGGTTGTGCAGTTTGAGCTCTGCACAAAAATGGATGACAGAGCGGGAAGTGGGGCTGAAATCCAGCTTGGCCACAAGCTTTTGTTTTGCTGGTCCCAGCCCTTCTTAGAAAATAATTCTTAGAATCTTCTTTTGACTTGAGGCCTGGACCACTCAAGTTTACCAACCTCAGACCTCTAATCTCTAACCTCCCAAACTCCTGACTCTTTCTCCCCAACTCTGGAAGGAGGGGTGGACGTGAAAGGCTAGAAGAAAAGGCAGTCCCACCATTTCCTCCGTTTCCCAAGCGTTCTTCTTTTCCCGGGACAGTCCAACTCCTGGCCAGGAGTAAATCAGGCTCTCTAGTGCTCTGGAGCCACCTAGTGGTCCTCTGTCGCAGCGCACCACGCTGACAAGTTGAATAAAAGCCCTTTTCTCAGAGAGCCAGCTCTTAGGGAGATGAAATGGGGAGAGAAGACAAAGCTCTGTGGGAACTCAAGGAGGGAGAGAACATGGCTTCCGGCGAATCAGAGCTTAGAATTTGTGCTCAGCTGGACTTGGATCCTGATTCTACCACATACTAACTGGGTGACCTTGGGTAAGTCACGTCACCTCTTTGAGCATGCCTCTTGATGTCGGTGAAGTGTTTAGCACAGTGCCCAGCAAGCTTTGGATATTTTAGGTAGAAGGAACTTTGTAAGCAAAATTAGGGGACACAGTGAATGTTCAGAATATAGGGTAGGTGACATGCTCCCTCTTCCCTGCTGGGAAGGTCAGTCCCATGGAGCAAGGTGAGGGTGGGGGAGCACGAGTCTCTTAACCATAGCACAATGAGAGGAGCTGGAACCCCTTACTGGAACCAACTGCCCATTCTAGGCTGAGACCCAGTCCTAAGCAGGTTTGCTCACCTGGGCTCTGGCTGGCCTCAGGTGTGTAGGCAAAAAATGTGTAGCCAACCGCGAGACTTCCTTCTCAAGCTAGAGCAGAGCTCTTCCAAATTCCTCGGAACTGCCCAATCCTGACCCTGGTTCCATCTGACCTCCTATTTGTTCCATCTGTTTCTTTCCCAATTCTGATTCTACATTGATAAGCTATGGTTGTTGGCTTCCGTGAGCTTTATTCTTCTGACTTTTCTTCCTACCTCTCTAGCTGACCCTTGTCATGATCCTTTGTGGGTCTGTTTCCTCCGCACACCCTTACCACTCCAAAGGGTCCTGTCCTATCCTCTTCTTACCTCCCATGTTCTTCTTGGCTCGCCTAACCCATTCCACTGACTTTAATTATCACTTATATGTTTCCCCCAGAGCTGCTTATCCAGTTGCCTCTTGGATGTTTCACAGGCACCGCCAACTTGATACGTGCAAAACGAGATTATCGGCTTGCCTCCAAACCTGTTCTTCTTCCTGTGTAGCCTACACAGCCAGTGGTTCCACCCTCTGCCTTATTGCTTAAGCCAAAAATGTGCGTGGGTGTCAGCCTTGACTCTTCCCTCTTTCCTTCCCCAGAAGTATTATCAGCCTGTTTCAGTCACCATGCCTCATGTGTTTATCTAATCCACCCACCTCTCTTTATCCCCTGCTGCAACTCTAGACACCATCCTCTTTTGCCTGGATTATTACAACCACCTCTGAATTTGACTCTGCCTCAGTTTTACCCCTTGTTTGCCTCTTGTGTTCCCTCTGGAGGCTCGAGAGAAGTCAATTTCCTAGCCTTTTCCACCTTCTACAGGCTTTCCACCACATTCCTTGGTTCACGACCCCCTTCCTCCATTTTCAAAGCCAGTTCCGTGTTCTGGCAATTCTTCCACAGTCCAATC